AGAAAAGGAGAAAAAAATACCTGCAGTGGACCACAACAGGTCCTTTGGCTCGAAGCTTCTTCCTGTTCCTTCTGACCTCAAGGATGAAGGAAATGAAACCAGATTCCTCATTAGGAACACCGGCTGTGGGCCAGCCAGTGAACCACATGTGGGCCACTTCTCTGACCAGGTTGTTTTCTAGATTTTTCAGTTGGACATTAGACACCACAAATTTTTCTTTCATGTCACGAGATTTGAGGGTCACCTAAAGAAAAGAAAATATTAAAAGTTTTGCCTTATCTGATAGTAAAATGATAATCTGTGACAAATACTTATAAAGTTCTTAAGATAATGGCTAAAAAAAAAAAAAAATAAGATGTTAAATTTAAAAACTTCATAATCAAAAACACATTACTAAAATATATATTTGAGAAAAATTAATGCCTTAGAGATCTAGCTAAAATGATATGATATAGTTTATAACAATCAAGAGTGTGACTAATCATTATTCATTAAAAAAAACATTACTCATTGCCAACAGGCATGCCATGCCATGCCCACTGTGAGATTACTTGTTTGATTGTTTTTATACACAGATGGCTACATTTGTACTAAATCACCAATTGGCCAGTTACGAGTACCGCCCGTCTCGCCCGCTTACCCTTTTCTTTGATTTACAAAATATTTTACATTATCTCATTTTGCTGTTACTAATGTTAAAAAACATTATAATAATCATAATGTTTATAATAAAAATAGCACCACTGATATTCATGGCACTAGTGAAAAATACGTTTTTCCTGCCATTTCAAAACAGGCACTAACAGAGCCATCTATGGGCAAACATTTCATAAAAAAAATATAGAAAATAGGCACAGCATTTTCCCCATTTTTTGTTCATTTTCCCCGATGGCAATGGGTTAAACATTATAATTCAGACAATAAAAGTACTTACCTGGAATTCACCATAGACCCTATGACAATCTAATGTCTCTGAAGGGGGAAGGTAATCAGCACACTTGTCAATGCCCTTTTCCACAAAGTCTGTCAACATAACAATAACACGCGTTTCTTGTTCCCAAACCATCTTCCAGAAGTCCGCTACTGTGTCATCTAGTGGAGCCTGCAAGTGAAAAGTAATCAGTGTGTGCCAAATTACTAGCTATGCATTATCAGAAATACTGTAACCAATGTTCTAGACATCAGAGGTCACAGTGCCTTACCTGGGTTGCAATGTAGTACTTCGACTCATTCCTTGAGCCTCTTACATAGTTGGCATTGATGTACTCAGAAGTTGGAGAGTCTTTTGCCGTTTTGAGGATAACTCGTGTTTCTGGCACAGGAATGACATTGGCATACCTTGTATGGGGAAGAAAATGGGAAAAAATGAAATATAATATGATCTTTGCTACCATATATATGAGCATAATATTTTGAAGAAGTAGTCAGTGCTTGCATTTTATGGATTCAAGACAAAAAATTGTATGATATCCATAACTCAACTGAACTATAAAAATTAAGTACATTCTGAAATTATAAAACTACTATAAAGATCAAACTTTACACATAGCATATAAAAATAAGAAGGCCTACTAACCTATTCTTATCTTCAACACCAGCTGGTAACTCATCATACTTTGGCATATTGACTGGGATTGTCGAGAACTCTTCATGAACTCCATCAATATCAGAGATGAAGTGAGTAAGCTTAGCAAAGTTCAGAGGCCGTGAAGGTCCATTCTGTTTATGAGAAAATTGTGTTCATAATTTATCATAAAAAAAAATAAATAAATAAAAATCCTTAAGTAGTTAAGGCAAGAGAGCAAATATATTAAAGGAAAATATATAACATGAAAAGGCTTAGATAAACAACAAATTTAATATAATAAATCAACCAATAATCATAGAACAAAATTCATCAAAATCTTTCTTGTAATCTTACTGGATCATCAAAGGCCTGATTAAGATATGACTTGATGGATCTTCCTGAGGCACGTCTTTTGCTTTTCCTTCTAAAGGAATGATAAACAGAGACACTGTCCATACTGTAGGCATCCATGCTGACTGGTGTGCATCGTCTCCCGTAGTAATTATTGGCAGCACCGCGTTTCCTCACGAGCATCTAGAAGTGAGTCCTTATGTTAAAAACCTTTCATTTAGCATCATCATTAAAAATATTTCACATGCAAATGAATACAGTAATAATGTACTCAAACCTTATAATTAATACATTTGGGGAAAATGATATATCATATTCTTTTCTTAACCCCCTTGGATCCAGATGATATGACCTTCATGTCATGAAAAAAATTGGTGACGTGATGTGACATGAAATGAACATGCTGTCATGGAAAAATTCTGCAGAGGGTCAGGGTGATGGAAACATCCCATCATGAGAATTTAATCTCAAGGAAGGGTAACACATACGACTCTCCATGAGTACACAAAGCTCTTGGAGGGAGATTGTATTATTTCTATTGGTAATTTAGTGTGGAATGTATCATGCATCAGCCATGATTGACAGAGCACCAGCTCCAGGGAGGACACTTGCCATGCTCAGGATACTATTCCTGCCCACTGTGACTGGCTGCACAGGCTATATTGCAGAAAATTAAATAATATCGGAAAAAAGGAGGAGGAGGAGGAGGAGGAGGAGGAGGAGGAGGAGGAGGAGGAGGAAGAGGAGGAGGAGGAGGAGGAGGAGGAAGAGGAGGAGGAGGAGGAGGAGGAAGAGGAGGAGGAGGAGGAGGAGGAGGAGGAGGAGGAGGAGGAGGAGGAGGAGGAGGAGGAGGAGGAGGAGGAGGAGGAGGAGGAGGAGGAAGGGGGAGGATGGAGGAGGGGAGAAAGAAGAAGAAGAAGAAGGAGGAGGAGAAAGAGAAAGAGGAGAAGGAGAAGGAGAAGAACGAGAAGAAGAGGAGGAGGACGAGGAGGAGGAATTAAAAGAAAAAGAAGAAGAAGAAAAAACACACACACACACACACACAAAATGTTACTTATTGATATTATTAGTGTACTGCAGTATGGATAACCTAGAGAGATGATATGGAGTCTATGCAAGGAAAACAGTCAATTAACCATCTGGATACAGCATTAGACATTAGAAAATGGCAAAGAGAAAAATGCTAATGCAGAAAAGGAGCTAAAAACATTGCAAAGAGAAGGCAAGGAGTGTGGACACTGCACATGAGTGTTCATGCACGACCAGCCTACAAACCACATCTCCGTGAAAGTGGCCACTCAAGTAAGCCCAATGCCCAGATCTTGAGCCACATGCAGGCAGCAAAGCAACCACATCCAAGGGGTTAATAATCACAAAGAAGTTCTCTCGGATAAATCAAATTGAAAAGAGAAAGGCTAATAGATAACTGGATAACATCTAACTTGCGGGAAAGAAGTTATTATACAAGATGAGGAATCATAACTGTATCAAAAACTATAATTTACATCTGTAATATTGGACATAACTGAATAATAGACATCTTAAAAAGGACTACTTACAAAGAAAATGAGGGCTATGATGATGGCAGCCCCAACTAATGTAGAAATTACAATAATAACAATAACAGGGGTGCCAACTTCTGCTTCTTTTTCTAATAATAAATTGGAGTTTGTGGTACCATCTGGACGTACAAGTTCCAACTCTGTGACCTGTAAGATATATACATCATATATATTGATAATTATCATTACACAATAACTATAATACTTAAAATTTTATATGACATAAGCTTTATATGATATAAGCTACTGAAACATGTCATAAACAACACCAGAACGGAATGCTATTTTATGAGAAAATCTCTGAATATGATCCAAACTTTTTAATTCTATAAAACTACCATAAGAGTCACTTATCAAAATATTGAATAATACAAGACTAAAGAAGGTATCTTTACTACATAAGACTGTTAGTTCAGCACCTGAAAGTAAATCAAATAAGACTTGTCAGGCTTTCATGTGTGCAAGGAATATCTATCTCAGAACTATAGACACAGACATCTCCCAATTGGGATACATTCACAGAAGTAATGCTCAATAAGGCTTATCTGGAATTATTAGAAAAGTGAGGAGTATTGAGAAACAAACCTTTGACTTAAGATATGCTAGTTCTTCACTGATCTCCAGTTCAGTTGGGTAAAGTGGGAACTGCTCTGTTAAATTGGGATCAATCTTGCCAGAACGAGTGACATAGAAATAGACATCTGTCATATAGTCATATATCTCATTCACTTTATCCTCAGCCTCTTGGTCAGGATCAGTAGGGTCTTCAGGAAGCTGGTTCAGGTGATCCTCAGTGAGTGGCTTTATTGACTTACAATCAGGCATATTGAAGAATGTGATCTCATGCGGTGACACGTCTCTGTTGAGATAGAGATAATTATTTTCAAAATCTACATATCAATTATGAAAAAATCCAAATATCTCATATTATTTCACCACTAATCATAAGTGCATAACAAGGCAAGTATAAACATAAGAAACGCAGTCACTAACACATCCTCCATGTGTCTGCTGATCCATTCTGCAAGCAGAGCCTTGAAATTGTGCCTGTGCTGGCAGAATTCTCCCCCACTGTAGCCCACACGTGCCCTCACATAGGGCATAGGACGATCGACCTTGGTTCCGTTCGAGAGCTCCACAATTGTTGTCAGAGTTGGCATTGATTCTGTGTTATGCATTAACAATTTAATTGGTATTAATGAAATGTAATTCAGAAGAAAAGTGAAGACAGCTAATACCATTTAATAAACTAATTCAAATTCACTAAACAAAGATTAGTTATTACATCTACTAACTATTCTTAAATGAAATCTTTGTACCCTTTGAGACACAAATAATGCCCTAACTGAGCTTGAAAGTTACTTTTCTATCCCTTATTCTGTCTGTCTTAAAACAAAAGGAAGATCAGTACCAAGAAGAGTGTTCAAATCAATTCAATATTTGCTTGTAATTCTATTATCTAATAATACTGAATTACAGAATTCTTATATAAAGTCTAAAACAGCATAAACATCTCCCAGAATAACAGTGATCTATAACTAAAACAATGCTTTCATATACAGTTTTCAATCATAATCTTAGAAACAACTTTTACCATAAGTGTTCCTATACTTCAGAGTAGTTATTATTTTCAAACAAATGAGAATATTAATCAGGGAATTTAAACAGAAATTTTCCATCAACAGAGAATAACTTAAATTTGACACTTATAAAACATTAAAAGAATGCTTCTGATTAGCCTTGGGCTCAAGCTTATCAACTCAATTTGCCTACATCAATAAAATTATGGGATTATAAAGAAAACACACACAAAAAAATAAGCTTCAATATATGTTGAAGCATTTCATAAAACAACTTAAGTCTGTCTATCACTGCTACTCAATGGGTTCTTCATATATTTCTGGCATGAAATTGACAAACTAAGTACTGCAACACTGTGATGAAGCTGTAATACAAAAGGTGAACTTCATAATATTGAGAAACAGCACATAAGAAGCAGACTCAGAGTAGTTCTCACTACAAGCATTAAACAAGCTTTAGTATTATAATTAAATGGCTAATATTTTTAAAATGCAAGATTCAAGCAACACACAAGGGTTGAGGTATACCTTCATTATTCACTGTAATCATTGTTGTTGATATTAAATGGATGCTTAAATTTGAAAGTTAAGAAATGATTAAACCATATATTTTTTGGCAATGTGTTTCATCTCTGTCCTTCTCTCTCTTTCTACCTTACATACCAGTTGGGATGATGAAGGTGATGCTAACTTCAGACGGGGGTGTGGTGGGTATTTGGGTGGTGGTGGTAGAAGCAGGTATTGTAACTTTGGTTGTAGTGGTCTTTGTAGTGGTTATGGTTGGTGTGGTGATGGTTGTGAAGGGTGGAGAGGGGCTGGCTGGTGGCAGAGGAGAGGACATTGGAGCATCCACAGTTTCTTCTGTTAGAATGAAATGATTATCATTAGTTAAAGATGTTTCTTGCTGGGGCAGAGTTTACAGGAAAATAATAACAAAAGATATGGATAGACCATCTGCCCATGGACCAATTTGAAAAATTCCTTTTAATTCTCAAGTTCTGCTATTGCAAATTTTTCATAAAGTTGCAATTAGTGTTAACAAAATACAAATATTTCAGCACTCTTCTTGCAAAGTCTGAAATATGTGTGCAAAAAAAATCTTGCACCTACCTTTCTTGCCTGCTTCCTCTGATGCAGTTTCTTCTCCAGGTATGGCAGCAGAATCTAGGTGTGGGTACACTTCTGTGGCAATGTCTTCAAGAGCTGGTTCTGAGGCTGTCGGGGCAACCAGGGCAGGTAAGTCTGAGGTACTGGTTGGGGAGTGGGAGGGAGCCAGGAAGACTGTCTCAAGGTCAGCAGGTGAGGAAGGGGGAGCATAGGAGTCTGTTGTTGTTAGATTTGTTAGTAATGTTGGAAAAGCTGGTGAGATTGCCGGGGGACTGGGGGAAGCAGAAACAGAAGGCAAGGTTGTGTTAACTATGGCAGTATCCATAGCAGTAGTAGTAAATTCCAAGGTCATACTCTTAAAGGGATCAGGTGAAGTTAACAAGACTTCTTTTAAGGAGATAGTTGGGGAAGGCAGAGGTCTTTCTGAGACTATGACAGGGGGCTCAGGAGTTTTGACTGTGTCTGTAACAATAAAGGAAGCATAGTCTTCTGGAGCAAGAGATGTGGGGATAAGGGTGGAGGATACAATATCAAATGAAGGAATCAGGGGCTCTGTTGTAGATTCATACAGAACTGATGATGACTCAACTGGCTTAGGCAGTCTGTCAATTAAAGTTATAATGCTATCTTGGGGAATCACACTTGACAAAAGTTCATCTACTGTAGAATAGTCACTAGGTATATCACTCTCTGTGTGGTCATATTCTTGAATGCTGGTTGTGACTACAAGCAAAGGTGATTCTGGTGTTGGCAAAGCAATACTTTTTGAGGTTTGTGCAGGGAAAGCTGCAGTGCTTACAACTATTTCACTGAAAGGTGGAAGGTCACTAGATTCAGGCACTACTTCACTAGGTTTACTAATTTCACTAATAATAGGAGTAAAACCACCTGTCAACTCCGGTGCTAAGATGGGAGGTACTGTTGTAGTCTGGGGTCTCTCAGTTGGGGCTGCAATCAAGGATACATCCTCCTTCTCCTCCTGCTCATCTTCTGCTGGTCCTAGCACAGGAGTCCAGGTGACACTAACAACTGGTGTTACACTGGCATCTGGTGCTACACTGGCATCTGGTGCTACACTGGCATCTGGTGCTACACTGGCATCTGGTGCTACACTGGCATCTGGTGCTACACTGGCATCTGGTGCTACACTAGTCTCCGGTGCAACACTAGCACCTGGTGCTACACTGGTATCCGGTGCTACACTGGTATCTGGTGCTGCAATAGCATCTGGTGTTGCACTAGCACCCAGTGCTACAACAGTATCTGGTGCTATACTAGTACCCGGTGCAACACTAGTACCCGGTGCAACACTAGCACCTGGTGCTACACTAGTATCCAGTGTTACACTAGTATCCAGTGCTACACTAGTATCCAGTGCTACACTAGTATCCAGTGCTACACTAGTATCCAGTGCTACACTGGTATTTGGTGCTACACTAACTTCTGGTGCTACATCGGGTTTCTCCACAGGAGGACTTATTATTTCTGTGGCACTAGTCTCACTACTGGGGCTACTGGCTTGAGCAGAATCTAAAGTTTCTACTGCAATGGAAGTAACTGTTGGTCCCTCTGAACTCATTTGGGGTTCATCACTCTTTCTGGTTGTAATAATTTCATCTATGTCTACTCCTGCTGGTGTGATAGGCTCTTCAATGTCAATATCAACAGGAGGTCCAGATGTGGGTATGGCAGGAGGCAATTGTGTGATAACACCAGCAGAGTCTAAAGTAGGGGCTACAACTGTGGTATAACTTGATATATTATGTCTGGGAGGTTCTATTACTGTTCCTTCTGTGGTAACAAACAAGGAAGAGGAGACTAATGACTCTTCAAATACTATAGTTGTTGTGAGCTCAGGTTGTTCTACATCTGATTCAGTGCTTTCAGCAATAGTAAAAGTAGTCTCATCTAAGGGCACAGTGGCTAACAGGACTGAGGAGTCGGAGGGAACCTGGCTACTCTCAAGGGAAGTAAAGCTTAAATCAGAAACTGAAGAACTTGCTAATGTTGCAGTAAGAGTCTCACTTTTAAGCGTAGTGGAAGAAGGCAAAGCAATTGCCAGGTCAGGAACCTGGGCACTGGAAATTAAAGAAGAAGCAAGCCGTGTGCGTGTCTGCTGTGTATCTACAGTTGGCGAAGGTGATGACTTAGATAAAAGCATCCACAAGGGGGTCCTGGGGGAGTCTGTGACCTGTGAGGTACGGAAGAAGGGTGTTGGCTGCACACTAACTCGAACAACAGGTGTGCTGGTTGTCACTTCCTCTGCGTCAGGAGTTGTTACAGGCAGAGAAGAGGGAGGAGTGGTGAAGGCTAAAAGTGTGGCTGTAGCCAATGCTTCACCTGTACTACCTGGATGCTTATCCTCAGATTCTGCAGTCATACTTTCAGTGGCTGCAACATCTATGAGAAGCTCACTGGATGTGGTGATATGAATTGTATCCTCTTCTGGCTGTTCCTCCAAAGATGGCCGTGGTCCTGTGGTTTCAACTCCTGTGATTTCATCTTCTGCAGCTTCTACAATCAAAGTGGTGCTATCAACAAAGTCACCCTCTCCAAGGGTGTTGTCAATCACTTCAATCTCCTCTTCAGGCTGGACTCTTGTAGAAGTCAAGGTAAGTGCTGGAGTTGGGGATGTTGTGGATATCAAGACATTAACAGGTGGTTCCACACTTGGCCTCCCAAGCTCTGCCCCTGTAGATAAGGTTGCCTCAAGTGGGAGTTTAGGAGTTACAGATGGCTGACTTGTGTCTATCATCAGGACACTTGACTGCAGCTCAGGTATGCTAGAGGCAAGATCAACTGTAGGTCTGATCATATCAGCTGTTGTGTCATGTGGTGCCTCAAAGCCTGGAGTAACAAAATCTTTGGGGTCAAATAGTGGCCCTGGTGCAGGGGTAGGTGCTACAGATGTTATATCAAAGAAATACTGTGTCACTGGGATCTTAGTAACTGTATATGAAGGAACAACAGTTGATGCAGTCACCTCATCATCATCCAATGGAAAAGGAGCTGCAGCAGATGCTAATATGGCTGTATGTCCAGGCTCTGTTGGGAATGCTGCTGCTGTTCTCGATGATTCTGTAGTAGTGTCTAGGAGTTCAGATGGCCAGTTTGGTAACCAGTCAGAATCAGGCTCAGCAAGAACACGAACTGCATCAACTGGTCTTCTAACCAAGATGGATGGTTCAACTGCAAGTTGACTGGAAGCTGGTACTCCTGAAGAATCTATGTCTGACACATGGCTTGAATCAGTAAAAGCATGAATTGCTTCAGCTAGCCTACTAACCAACTCTGTTGGTTCAACTGCAAGTGTACTTGTAGCCAGAACACCTGAAGAAATAATCTCCGAGTCAGCAAGAGCAGGAAGTGCTTCTGTTGGCCTGCTAACCAACTCAGATGGTTCCAATGTAAGTATACTGGTAGCTGGCACTCCTAAAGATTCTACCTCTGACAAATCAACAAGAGCATCTGGTCTACTAAGCAACTCTGATGGTTCAAATGCAATTGCGCTGGAAGCTGGTACTCCAGACGAATCTATCTCTGACACATGACTTGACTCAATTAAAGCATGAGGTGCCTCAACTGGCCTACTAATCAACTCAGATGATTCAACTGCAAGTTCACTAGGAGCTGGCACTCCTGAAGAAATTATCTCTGAATCAGCAAGAGTATGAAGCACTTCAGTTGGCCTGCTAACCAACTCAGAAGGTTCAATTTCTGTACTAGAAATTGGTTCCTCTGAAGAAACTATTTGTGAAACAAGACCAGAGTCAGCAAGAGCACGAACTGCTTCAGTTGGTCTTGTAACCACCACAGTTGGTTCTAATGCAAGTAAAGTGGGAGAGAGCACCTCTGAAGGAATAATCTGTGACAAAGATGAGAGTACCACTTCAGAAGCATTCTCATCTTTTCCTTCAAGAATTTCCGTGCTAAAGTCTGATGGGAAATCAGAGTACTCTACTGTTCCGATTTGACTGGAAATTTCACTCTCTGGTAATGAAGAGACCGTGGCTGTTCTCTCTCCTCCTGCTAAGTCATCCTCAAAGTCAGGTAGAGGACTTTCGTCTACAAGTGAGACAGTAGAGACCATAGGCTCAGGTGATTGTGTGGATTCCGGAACAATGGTGCTATAGTCAAAATCTTCTGAAAGGAATGCGTCAGCACTTCCAATGCTCAACTGTCCTCTCACGCCTGAAAAGAAAAATATCAAGTGATAAAATAAATCATACAAAAAAAACAACGAAGAAAAGGAAGCATACTGCAGCTGGTTTATGGGGAGGGAAAGATGGAGGGAGCAGGAAAGGGAAAGGGAAAGAGAAAGGGAAAGGGAGAGGGAAAGGGAAAGGGAGAGGGAAAGGGAGAGGGAAAAGGAAAGGGAGAGGGAAAGGGAAAGGGAAAGGGAAAGGGAGAGGGAAAGGGAAAAGAGAAAGAGAGGGAGAGGGGGAGGGAGAGGGAGAGGGGAGGGGGGGGAGGGGGAGGGGAGGGGGGGAGGGGGAGGGAAAGGGAGAGGGAGAGGGGGAGGGAGCAAGAAAGGAAGAGGAAGAGGGAAAGAGAAAGGAAGAGGGGGAAGGGGAGGGGGAAGGGGAGGGAGAAAGGGAGGGAGAGGGAAAGGGAGGGAGAGGGAGAGGGGCAGGGAGCGAGAAAGGGAGAGGAGGAGGGAGCAAGAAAGGGAAAGGGAGAGGGAGAGGGAGTGGTGGTAGGGGGAGGGGGAGGGGGAGGGGGGAGGGGAGGGGAGGGGGAGGGACAGGAAGAGGAAGAGGGAGAGGGAGGGGGGGGAGGGAGAGGGAGAAGGAAAAGGAAAGGGAAAGGGAAAGGGAGAGGGAAAGGGAAAAGAGAGGGAGAGGGGGAAGTGAGAAGGGAGGGGGAAGGGGAGGGCGAGGGGGAAGGGGAGGGCGAGGGGGAAGGGGAGGGGATGGGAGGGGAGGGGAGGGGGAGGAAGAGGGAAAGGGAAAGGGAAAGGGAGAGGGGGAGGGAGCAAGAAAGGAAGATGAAGAGGAAGAGGAAGATGGAAAGAGAAAGGGAGAGGAAGAGGGGGAAGGGGAGGGAGAAAGGGAGAGGGAAAGGGAGGGAGGCGGAGAGGGGCAGGGAGCGAGAAAGGGAGAGGAGGGAGCAAGAAAGGGAAAGGGAGAGGGAGAGGGAGAGGGAGTGGTGGTAGGGGCAGGGGGAGGGGGGTGGGGGAGGGGAGGGAGAGGGACAGGGAGAGGGACAGGAAGAGGAAGAGGGAGAGGGAGGGGGGAGGGAGAGGGACAGGAAGAAGAAGAGGAAGAGGGAGAGGGAGGGGGGAGGGAGAGGGACAGGAAGAAGAAGAGGAAGAGGGAGAGGGAGAGGAAGAGGGAGAGGGAGAGGGAGGGGGAGGGAGAAGGGGAGTGAGTGAGAAAGGGGGAGGGGGAAGGGGGAGGGGGAGGGACAGGGAGAGGGACAGGGATAGGGAGAGAGAAAGGGGGAGGGAGTGAGAAAGGGGGAGGGAGAAGGAAGAGAGGACAGGGACAGGGGGAGGGATAGGGAGAAGGGGAGTGAGTGAGAAAGGGGGAGGGGGAGGGGGGAGGGGGAGGGATAGGGAGAGAGAAAGGGGGAGGGGGGAGGGGGAGGGGGAGGGACAGGGAGAGGGACAGGGATAGGGAGAGAGAAAGGGGGAGGGAGTGAGAAAGGGGGAGGGAGAAGGAAGAGAGGACAGGGACGGGGGGGAGGGATAGGGAGAAGGGGAGTGAGTGAGAAAGGGGGAGGGGGAGGGGGAGGGGGAGGGATAGGGAGAGAGAAAGGGGGGGGAGGGGGGAGGGGGAGGGGGAGGGACAGGGAGAGGGACTAGGGATAGGGAGAGAGAAAGGGGGAGGGAGTGAGAAAGGGGGAGGGAGAAGGAAGAGAGGACAGGGACGGGGGGAGGGATAGGGAGAAGGGGAGTGAGTGAGAAAGGGGGGAGGGGGAGGGGGAGGGACAGGGATAGGGACAGGGAGGGGGAGAGGGAGAGAGTTGGGAAAGGGGGAGGGGGATTGGGAGGAAGAGGGGGGAGGGAGAGGGAGTAGAAGAGGGGAAAGGTGGAGGTAGGGGGGGGGGGAGGTGGGAGGGACAGGGATAGGGAGGGGGGGAGAGAGAGAGAGAGAGAGAGGAGGAGAGAGAGAGAGAGAGAGAGAGAGAGAGAGAGAGAGAGAGAGAGAGAGAGAGAAAGAGAAGAGAGAGAGAGAGTAAAGAGAGAGAGGGGAGGGAAGGAGAGAGAGAGAGAGAGAGAGGAGAGAGAGGAGAGAGAGAGAGAGAGAGAGAGAGAGAGAGAGAGAGAGTAGAGAGAAAGAGGAGAGAGAGAGAGAGAGAGAGAGAGAGAGAGAGAGAGAGAGAGAGAGGAGAGAGAGAGAGAGAGAGAGGAGAGGAGAGGCTGAGGGGGGAGGAAGAGGGGGGAGGAAGAGGGGGAGGAAGAGGGGGAGGAAGAGGGGGAGGAAGAGGGGTAGGAAGAGGGGGAGGAAGAGGGAAAGGAGGAGGGAGTGGGAAAGGGGGAGGGACAGGAACAGGGACAGGGACAGGGACAGGGACAGGGACAGGGACAGGGATTGGGAAAGGGTCATGATTAATAGATTAATAGATTTAGGAAGGTATAGGGAAGCGACAGCTTAGGGGGAATAATAACATTTACCGGTAATATGTTTGTATAATGAACATGTATCTCCATAGGATATAGCACATGCTATCTATACATGAAAATGAGAGGTGCTGCATAATCTATCCTGACACGGGTGAGTTCCATGACCACAATTAGGCCAATATCCGAGCAGGTGGCACGTCTTGCGCCATGTCAGCATGGATGTTATCATCCCGCGCGTCTCATGGCCAAATTGATGCCGTGACAGGGCGTCTGGCTGCCGAAGCCCTTGCAGAATGACGCTAAGGCTATGCTCACTCGCCTCGTGTTTTGTCTGATTAAAATTGCACGTGTGGTCGAGAGACTGGCGGTTCTGTCCTCCCTCTTTCGTGGAGGTGAAAGAACTGAGGAAAGGCAGGTAACACTGCGCACAGGTGGTGAACAGGTGTACCTGCGTTCAGGGTAAACGGCCGCTGTATGCACGGAGATTAAAACGAGCGGCAGATAAGCTTGATCGAACTCATAATTCAGTATATAAATGTCAGCTTACGAGAGATAAACAATAAAATGGATTCTGTAATCAATAATACTTTACAAGTATACACAACGGCATCCATAATTCGTATCGGCTGAGCGATAAAGGCGCGTTTCACCCTCGTTCAGTTGTGATGGGAAGCAGTTCGCTTGGAGGTTAAATTCATACAGTTTGCGATAAGTCTCTTTTTCTTTCTCTTTGTCTTCTCTTCTTCTCATTTCTCTCTCTCCCCCCCCTTCACTCACTCACTCACTCACTCTCTCTCCCACATTTACTCTCTCTCCTCTCTCTCGTCTCTCTCTCACCCCTCTCCTCTCTCTCTCCTCTCTCCCCTCATCCCTCTCCTCTCTCTCTCTCAACCCCTCTCCCTCTCTCTTCTCTCTCGCTCACCCTCTCCCTATCTCTCTCTCTCGTCACCCTCTCCTCTCTTCTCATCTCTCTCCCCTCTCCCTCTCTCTCTCTCCAAAGGTCTCACCCTCTCCTCTCTCTCTCTCTCTCACCCTCTCCCTCCTCTCTCTCTCTCTCACCCTTCCCTCTCTCTCTCTCTCTCACCCTCTCCCTTCTCTCTCTCTCTCTCACCCTCTCCCTCTCTCTCTCTCTCTCACCCTCCTCCCTCTCTCTCTCTTCTCCCTCACCCTCCATCCCTCTCTCTCTCTCTCTCACCTCATCCCTCTCTCTCTCTCTCTACCCGCTTCCCTCTCTCTCCTCTCCTCTACTCTCTCACCCTCTCCCTCTCTCTCTCTCTCTCACCTCTCCCTCTCTCTCTCTCATCTCACCCTCTCCCTCTCTCTCTCTCTCTCACCCCCGTCCCTCTTCTCTCCTCTCTCTCCTCACCCTCCTCCCTCTCCTCTCTCTCTCACCTCTCCACTCTCTCTCTCTCTCGTCACCCTCTCGCTCTCTCTCTCTCTCTCACCCTCTCCCTCTCCTCTCTCTCTCCTCACCCTCTCCTCTCGTCTCCCTCTCTCTCACCCCTCTCCTCTCTCTCTCCGCTCTACACCCTCGTCCCTCTCTCTCTCACCCTCTCCCTCTCTCTCTCTCTCTCACGTGCTCTCCCTCTCTCTCTCTCTCTCAACCCTCTCCCTCTCTCTCTCTCTCTCACCCTCTCCCTCTCTCTCTCCTCTCTCACCCTCCCCCCTCTCTCTCTCTCTCTCACCCTCTCCCTCTCTCTCTCTCTCTCACGTCCTCTCCTCTCTCTCTCTCTTCTCACCCGCTCCCTCTCTCTCTCTCTCTCACCCTCTCTCCCTCGCTCTCTCCCTCTCTCTCACCCTCTCCCTCTCTCTCTCTCTCTCACCACTCTCCCTCTCTCTCTCTCTCATCACAACCTCTCCTCTCTCTCTCTCTCTCTCCGCCCTCTCCCTCTCTCTCTCAATCTCTCACCCTCTCCCTCTCTCTCCTCTCTCTCACCCTCTCCCTCCTCTCTCTCCTCTCACCCTCTCCCTCTCTCTCTCTCTCTGCACCCTCTCCCTCTTCTCTCTCTCTCTCACCCTCTCCCTCTCTCTCTCTCTCACCCTCTCCCCTCTCTCTCTCTCTCAACCCTCTCACCTCTCTCTCTCTCTCTCACCCTCTCCCTCTCTCTCTCTCTCACCCTCTCCCTCTCTCTCTCTCCTCACCCCCTCTCCCTCTCTCTCTCTCTCACCCTCTCCCTCTCTCTCTCTCTCACGCCTCCTCCCTCTCTCTCTCTCTCTCTCTCTCTCACCCTCTCCCTCTCTCTCTCTCTCACACCCTCTCCCTAC